GGAATGTAAAATGGTACATCTGCTCTGGAAAACAGTCTGGCAGTTCCTCAGAAGGTTGAACATAGTTACCATAGGACCCAGCAATTCCACTAGCACACAAATTTTGTTCATGGCAGCACTATTCATACTAGCTAAAAAGTAGAAACCTCAAATGTCTATCAACTGATGAATGAATAAATAAAATATGGCATAGCCATACAATGGAATATTATTTGGCAATAAAAAGGAATGAAATACCAGTATATGCTACAACATGGATGGACCTTGAAAACATTATGCTAAGTGAAAGAAGTGAGTTACAAAAGGCCACATATTGCACAAATCCATTCATATGAAATGTCCAGAACAGGAAAATCAATATATAGAGGAAACAGATCAATGGATATGTAGGGTTGGAGGGGGATGAGAGAAAAAAGGAGTAACTGCTACAGTGTATGACGGTTGTTTTGGAGGTAAAGAGAAAGTTCTAAAATTGATTGTGATGATTGCATAACTGTAAGTATACTAAAAAGCACTGAACTGTACACTTTGAATAGGTGAATTGTATCTCAATAAGGTTGTTATTAAAAGAATAAATTCAAGATAAATTTCTATCTTTATGTATACACATACACAAGATCATGGTGTTTTACTTAAGTCTTTTGATTTTACGTTTGTATTTCTTTTACCCTGAAAACCTTGGTTCCTAATAACATTAATATGATTACTTTTTTAAATCTATACCTACATCTGTATCTATACGAATAAAAATACTACCTGAAAACAATATTAATATTACCAAAATTTGTAAAAATAGTGTAAGTTTTTTCTTTTTGTAGTTCTTTTTATTCCTAAGCAGTATCCCAACCAGGGAAGCATAGTCAAAATACTGCGCTGTAAAGTTATTTGATATAGTTCCTGAGTTTGTAAGTCACCAACTTATACACATTAGGTTTGTTTGTTTCATTTTAGCTATTTTTTAAGGATCACATTCCCCCTCTCCCATTTCAATTTAATTTTGTTTTATAATTATGTAAAATATTTACATGGTTACAATGTCAAAACAAGGTATGTATATTCAGATAAACCTAGTTTCCATCCTTGTCTCCTCCAATCTGTTTTTTTCTCTTCTCCTACTGATAACTATTTATTTATTTTATGGTTTATTCCTTTATTTTAAAACAAATTATAAGCAAATATATAAATACATAAATTATAGCCTACTATATACAATTGACACTGCCTTTTTTTAAAACATTATATCCTGGACATCACTGTATATAGAGAAGTATTCATTCTAAAAGTTGCAAAAATGCAAAAAATTTTTTCAAGATATTTAATAGCAATAGTCCAGAAGGTCACAGTATGATTTTCATTCTGTGAAAATGAAAATTCATTCCTTTTTTCAGCTGTATAGCACTCCACTGTGTGAGCCTGAACATCCACAGTATGGATGTACTATAATTTATTCAGCCAGTTCACTACCAATAGACATATAGGTTGTCTTCAGTATTTTGATATTACTACAAACAGTGCTGCTATCTTTTCATATTTTGCCCGCATATCTTTGGGATAATTTTCTAGATGTGAGAATGTTGAGTCAAAGGGCAAACCCATGGGTAATTTTCCTTGATATTGTCAAATTCCTCTCCATAGAAATGGTTTCATTTTGCATTCTCACAAGCTCATTTCTCAGTAGCCAATCAAAAGAAAATGTTGTGGAACTTTTGGACTTTTGCCAACGTGATAGGAGAAGAATGGTATCTCAGTGTAATTTTAATTTGAATTTCTCTTACTATGAGTTAAATTGAACATCTTTTCATATGTTCAAGAACTATTTGCATTTGTTTTTCTGCTGATCTCTTTAGTCCATTTTTCTATAGAGTTGTTGGTCTTCTCTCACTTTTAAAAGTTCTTTATATATCAGGGATAATAATAAGTGGCAAATATTTTTTCCAATTTTTCTTTTTTTTTTTTTTACTTTGCTCACAATTTTTTCTTCCCAAAGTTTTTCTTTTAATTTATGTAATTGTAAGGAATCAGAATTGGCCACCTCAAAATATGTCTCTTTGCCTTGATTATGTTCACGAACAAAAGACTCTGAAAAAAACTCTGGCCTCCCCCCGACTGTCTAAAAGAAATTTAAGATAGAAGGCCTGTCCCCAGAACAGGCCATCACCACAGATAACTCTGGGTATCAATAGACTGGGAGGGTCCTTGCTAAGCCCATTCTTATCAAAGTTCTGTTTATCAAACATTTGCTTTTCCATTTCCATGTGAATTGCTTTCCTCCCCTTTGAAGTCCCAAACCACCCCCCCACAACATCCGCCTTTGTCTTTAGCTGAAGATGGTATTTAAGATGAGAGCCTCTGCCATTTTGGCGAGTTGCTCAGTTTTCCTGAGTGTCTCCCATGTATACATGTTATAAAGCTTTGTTTGATTTTCTCCTGTTATTCTATCTCATGTCAGTTTAATTCATAGCCCAGCGAGAAGGACCCAGAGTGGGTAGAGGATATGTCTTCCTCCCCTACATAATCAAATTTATCAATCCTTTCCCTTATTGTTTCAGATTTTGAGTTATAGTTGGGAAAAATTTCACCATTTCTAAGATATGGAGGAATTACCCATGTTTTCTTCTATTATTTATATGGATTCACTTTTTTGAGTCACTTGAAATTTATCTTGTGTATGGTGTGAAGAATGGAATAATTTTTTATTTATACTAATATATTTGAGTAAGGGTAGTCCTTTGCTGGCTTTACAGTCTATGCATATGTATTTATTCACCCAGTCTAGGAAAAAACATCATGCATTGCTCCGAGGCTAGAGAATTTTATATTCCATGTTAGAAAATAAAAAGTTCCATTTTCACAGAATGAAATCATATTGTGACCTTCTGTACCATTGCTATTAAATACTTTGAAAGGCTTTTTACATTTTTGCAACTATTGGAATAAACCACATACTTTCTTACTGGTTGTGCCAGGTAAGATAAAATTAAGCCAAAGATAACCAATTCCTGGATTAAAGACATTTATTAATTAATATTAAGGTTAAAAAGTGAAAATTAAGATTAAATGAGAACCTTACTCAGGATAAGTGCTCAATATCTTTTTAAGTGAAATTTAATCAGTGAGAATCTGTGGCTAGTTCTTGTTACCTTGGAGAAAAATAAAAAGAGCTGCTAAGCCTTCAAGGTTCAGTTTTGCAGATGCGTTAGGAATATCACCTATCATTATTAATGTTGTCAACTTTAAATTAATCCTTCTTCACACTGACATTATGTGATAAATGCATATTGGTATCTTCATGAAAAAATTAGATGGCTGAGTCAGTAGCACAATTAGAACTTACACCAACTAGAAATTAACACCAAGGCTTATTTTGGTTTTCTTTGTTTTATAATTTTATTTATTTTTTCCCCCAAAGCCCCAGTAGATAGTTGTATGTCATAGCTGCACTTCCTTCTAGTTGACCAAAGCTTATTTTGTTACCCAGAGGAAAATATACAATATTGCAAATAATTTAAATTAGATATTATTTAAATTCACATCTACTACATGGTAAGTTCTGAAGAAATTTTTTAAAATAATCAAAATTTCTAGAAGAGAAAAATAGAGCAGATTGTAAATGTGAGGTCTCTAGGATAATAAAGTCTTACTCTTTCACTTTAACCACTCAAGCGTAGGGTGAGGAAAGAAAGATGATGACATCAATAGATAACCTTTAGTCTCATTTTGGCTATTGGATCCAACCTTCTCCTTAAGCAAACCTCCTTAAGCAAATGTCAACTTGATCACAAGAACAAAAACAGGGCCTGAACTTCAGCATTTTAAATCTCCCTCTTTCAGGTAGTGATGTTAATGAGCTGGGAAATAATCAGGGAATAGGGAGAAAGAGAGATGGAAAAGTCCTAGATAACATTTAATTCACTACTGGCTATTGAAAAAATTTCATTTTATAGATAAGGAAGTTATAGCTCAGAGTTTGTGACCTGAACAAAGTTACACAGCTGGTTAACGGCAAAGCCAAAACCAGGTTTCAGGTCTTCTGACTCTTGAGTCAAATGCTCTTTCCAGTATGCCATTCAACTGGTCAGATTAGATAACTGAAAAAAAAAAAAATGTGAAGGTAGCTCAACGTCAATATGTATTCTATATCAGCTTAGAAGTTAAACCCAGTTTTAAACATTAAATTTCATTCTTTTCTATTATTTAAATTACTGAGAAAACGCAATATGAAAATTCAATTGTTTTTACCTCTGCCTAACATATTCTTTTTCTCTACATTTAATCTTAGGAAGTAAGTACTTTTCTAATGGAAAATTATTACCTTATTGCATGTAAAACTCTCCATCAAAATAAAATTCTGTAAACATTACTTATAGGTAGGAAACTAAAAGGATAATTCTATTATAGGATCCACCCTAAATATATTGAACATTTCATAATCATTTTAATTAATTTAATTTAATTAATTAATCATTTCAGATGGGAAAATTGAAGATAAGGTCAAATTCAAGTTTAAAAAGTACTAAGTACCTACTATGGGTCAGGTATAGGTGCTAGAGTCAGAGGATAAACTACCAAATCAAAGTCAAAAACAAGTATTTCTAACCTTTGGGACCAAGCTCATTTAGGCCATACTCCTTATCAAAGAAAGTTAAATCTCAGTGGCCTCCTATACAATTATTCAATATTTTTGATGAAAGTAGGACTTCACAGAGTTTTTCCAAAATGCAAGACAAAGATCTAAACTCAAAAAAAATTCTTCTAAAGTTTCTCAAATTACTGAGGACACTATTAAATTATATTGATAGATGCTAACTCCAGTTTTATGAATTCTCAATGGTAAGATCATCTTATTTCAATAACATAGCATTTATAGTACTCCAAAATACCTTTAGAGATAGAACCTGGATCCCAAATTACCTGTTTGAAATGAAAACTGTCCAAATCTATCCAAAGTTTCTCTCTTTCCTAAGTTTGGGAAATTGCTCATAAGAAAAGGAGACATGTACCTTTCCATGACAGCTAGGCACTCCTTTCGCCAGGTAAATCGACTCCCTCGTCGTAATCGGAAGGTGCCAGATGTGGCAGAGACTGGGGGAGGTGTTTGTCTCCATTCTGGGTCCTCTATTGGAATGGGGGCGGGTCTCATACTTAGCGTAGCCCCTGAAAGAAACAAGACATTTTTAGCAAATATCTTGCGATTTATTAAAACCACTGTGACAAATACATCAAGAAATCAATAATAAACTTTTGCCCCTCCATTGAAATTTGTAGGTCAAATATATTTGATATTTATATTTTTAAAAAATTATTTGACCAAAATAAAAATTCGAAGAGACAAGTCTCTTCCTTATAAAGTCCATCATTAATTATTTTAAAATGTGATTTTTTTTTTCCAGTTTTGTCATTTGTCTTTTATCTTTGTTTATGTCATTTTTCAAAACAAAGCCCAAAACCTATCTCTTTAGGGAAATAGGGAAATATGGTCTTTGGCCCAGTGACAACTTAATTAGAGTTATCTTCCTCTAAAAAAATCTTTCTTGGGGCTGGCCCCTGGCCTCGTGGTTAAGTTCAGAGTGCTCTGCTTTGGCAGCCTGGGTTCGATTCCTGGACGCAGACCTACACCATTCCTCAGTGGCCATGTTGTGGTGGCGACCCACATACAAAACAGAGGATTGGCAAGAGATGTTAGCTCAGGGCAAATCTTCCTCAGGAAAAAAAAAATCTTTCTTGAAATTCCTATTTGACAGTTTTAATCTTTTTGAACAATACACCCTATATGTTCAGAATCTTTCATTACCATTCAAAGGACTTTAGTTTATTGAGAAAATGGAGCCCTTAAAGAATGTACGCAGGTAAGAGATGAATTTAAAATAACCCTAATTGCTGTAAACTCTCAAAAAAAAAAAAAAAGTCAAATATAGCCTCAAAGAAAATAAGAAGATATTTGATATGCTTTTAGTTTACTAACTAAATCAGATCTCTATAGGTCTATTACCTGTTAATGCTATACTATCTTCTGTAATCTCTTGAACATAATAAAAAACCAATAAAAAAATGTATAATTGAGATATTTTACTAATTCACACTAGACTTTTCTCAAATAACCTAAACTGGTGATGATGCATGTATTCATTCATTCACCATTTACCAAATTCTTTTTGTTTTATTTATTTTTCTTTTTTCTCCCCAGAGACCCAGTACATAGCTGTATATCCTAATTGTAGATCCTTCTAGTTCTTCTATGTGGGACACCACCTCAGCATGGCTTGCTGAACAGTGAGTAGGTCCGCGCCCAGGATCCGAACCAGCGAACCCCAGGCTGCCGAAGTGGAACATGCAAACTTAACTGCTACGCCACTGGGCCAGCCCCTCAAACCCTTTTTACATGGCTTGCTCTAGGCTAGAAGCTATGAATAAAACAAGGCAAGCAATGTTGTCTCGGGCCGCTATAGATTCATTTCAAAGAATTAAATATAACGTGGTATGCTTTCACAGAGTTCAGTCCCTGGCTCTCCCACTATTCTTTCATTCTTTACAGTGCATCTCCCCAAAGCATAATTATGATCATATCTCTCTGTTAATCAAAAACCTTCAAAAAGTTCCCTTTGCCTATGGAATAAAATCCAAACTCTTAATATAGCCCTAGAAAGACAGGTTAGAACATGTTAGAATTATGTGGAATAACGCACATATTAATAAATATATATTTCTTTCCTCATAAAAAGAATCATACTTTACTTATTGTACCTTGCAATTAATACCATGGGTAGTGTTTCTACTTCAGTATACAGATCTATTTGTAGATCGCCCTTTAATGGCTACATCTTTATATACATTCTCTTATACCTATGCCCAATATTTTAACCAATCCTGATTTTCCTCTCCAAACCTGTTGTCCTGTATTCTTTCCCATCTGAATAAATGGCATCCCTATTTTTCAAACTGTTCAGTTCAAAAATTTCAGATTCTTCTTTGACTTCTCTTTCTTCCACATGCTACATATCCAATCCACACGCAAATCCTGTCAATTTTATCTTCAAAATATATCTATAATCAGACCAATTTGTATTACTTTCACTGTTACCATTTTAGAACAAGCCAGCCTCATCTCTCCTAAGTATAATTTCCCAGGATAGGTTCCAAAGATAGCCCTTCACAATAAGTCACATCTCCTGGTAATCACGTCCTTGAATCTGGGCTGGTCTCCTGATACATTTTGACAAGAGAAAATGGAAATAGTTTGAGGCTAGGTCATAAGAAGCTTTGCAACTTCTGACTAGATCTCCTGGAATGGTGGCTCTGGGGGAAGCCAGCTGCCATATAAGAAGTAAGACTAACCTGAAACCACGATATTGAAAGGAAGCCCAAGCTAGCCATGTGGAGTGAAAGATGCCCAGCTGGCCCCCAGGTGCTCCTGTCAAACCTACCCAGATGCCAGATATTTGAGGAAAAAAGCCATTTTGGACATTCTAGCAGGAGCTGACACCATGTGGAGAACTGTAGAACCCAGCTGACAGACAGAAATAAGGCCTTAGGCATACAGTCCCAATACAGCTATGTGGCAGCCAGCCTCCAAGGTGGTTCCTAAGGATCCCAGCCTCCTGGTATTCACCCGGTTGTGTAGCTGCTTCTCATATTGTACCAGGATTAGTCTGTGTGACCAGTAACGTGGCAGAAGTGATAGTATGTCACTTCCGGGATTAGATTATAGAATACGCTGTAGTGTCTCTGTCTGTCTTAGTTGCTCTGTCTCTTGGATCACTTGCTCAGGGGAAAACTAGCTGCCATGTTGTAAGGATACTCAGGGAGCCCATGGTGAGGTCCATGTGGAGAGGACCTGATAGCACTGGCCAGTAAAGAACTAGGGCCTGCCAACACTCACATGAGCGATCTTGGAAGTAGACTGTCAAGCCCCAACGACTGCAGCCTGGCCTCATCTACAACCTCATGAGAACTCTGAGCCAGAATCATCTTAGCTTAGCCACTCCTAGATTCCTGACCCACACAAATTGTGAGATAATAAATGTTTGTTGTTTTCAGTTGCTAAGGTGTGGGTAATCTGTTGCATAATAATATAGAACTAATGTAAGACATCACAATCATTTCCAGTTGTTTACTTCCCCATGTTCCCCAATACACTATTATAAGTATTACTAATTATTCACATTTATAAATTTGTCAGGCAAAAAAATTTCCCTTTAATACAGAGATTTCATTATTATTAAGAATGAGCATCTTTTCCTGTTTACTAACCATTATGTATCTTTTCTTGTGAATTTATATATTTTGTCCTTTTTTCTTCTGAGTTATTGATTTTATTGGTGTGTAGAAATCATACCAATTGCTAGTCATATAGATTGCAACTATTTTTTTCCAGTTTGTCGTTTGTCTTTATTTATGGTGTGCTTTGTGATCTTAATTTTATGTAGTCAAATCTGTCAATCTGTTCTTTTTTTCTTTTTTTGTGTGAGGAAGACCAGCCTGAGCTAACGTGCGATGCCAATCCTCCTCTTTTTGCTGAGGAAGATTGGCCCTGGGCTAACATTCATGCCCATCTGCCTCTACTTTATAGGACGCCGCCATAGCATGGCTTGACAACCAGTGCTTCGGCGAGCCTGGGATCCAAACCTGCGAACCCCTGGCCGCTGCTGCGGAGCGTGTGCATTTAACCGCTATGCCACTGGGCCGGTCCCTGTCAATCTGTTCTTTTGTGGTCAATGCGTTTTGTATCATTCAGAATACTTTTATAGCTCCCATTTTTGTTTAAACCCTTAATAGATATATGATTTCCTGTTGTGTGTGATGTAAATATTTAACTTCTTCCTCAAATGGATGAATGTGTCGTCATACAATATTTTAGAGATCTGTGGCTTAAAACGTGTGGCAAACTATGGCCTGCTGCCATAGTTTAAATAAAGTTTTACTGGAAGACAGCCACATTCTTTCATTTACATAATGTCACTTTTTTGTACTACAATGGCAGAGTTGAGTAGTTGTGACAGAGACCCCAGAGCCTGCAAAGCTTAAAATATTTACTATCTGATCCTTTACAGGACGTTTACTGACCCCTGGTTTAAAAAATTCCTGGCCTACACACTACGAACCTCTAAACTGAAACCCTTCTTCAGACAGTTTAAGAAAGAGGATTTTATTCTGCCAAAATAACCTGGCAATTAGGTCTGGGCCTAATTCAAAGTTAACAAAGTTTAGACAGAAGATGGAACTATCAGGTTGGAGGGTTTCAAAGTCTTTGTTTTGGTACTTTTCTGAACACAAGCAAGAATTACAGCATAACAAGGGCTTTAGAATCTACCTAAGTTAGATTATATAAATTTTGGTCTACAGCCATGATAAAAGGTCCAAAACAGAGACTAGCGGCTATCATGGCTGATCAAAAGAGAGGTAGAAGCAGACCAGGCAAGGCAGTGGGTCCTCTCATCCAAGGCCTGGCTCTGGTGAAAGGACAGAAAGTTTCAGGGCTTCTGTGGATGGAGGATAGGGAATATGTCAGTGAATTCCAACTAGTAGGCCATATCTATAACCATGGCATGCTTTCTTACTTAAGTAGAATGATAAATGGGCACAAATAAAACAAACGAACATAAAGAATCCTAACTCAATCATACAGTTGAAGGAAATAAGCCAACTGATAATAAGGCTTCTTTCTTGGCATTGGGGTTTATTGGTAATATAACCATGCTTCTTTATAATATTCTATATTCTCTAGATTTTCTACAAAAAGGAAATTTAGATGAAATAAAATTGGTCAGGAAGGAAAAGAAAGAGGGAGAGAAGGAAGGAGGGAAAAAAAGAAAAGAGAGAAGTAAAGTAGTGGCCTGGTTACTTTAAAAGAAATCAAAGCAATTTATGCACAGAAGGTGAAAACTGAATAATTTCAAATTTGTAAACATACTTAATTTGAAACATAATATCATCACGTTACTTTTGAGGGGCTTTTTTTCCTTGCTCATTTTTCTTTTTCAATGTAGCAGTACTTAAAAATAGCACAAGAAGCACTCTGGAAACACTCCAATAAACACAGATTTGTTCTAGAAACTTAGTTCTTCTTGCTTTGGTTGAAAGAGATGGAGAGCAATGAATAATGAACCCAAGCAACGAACCCAAGAATGGGTTCAAAATTACTGCCTTCGACAGAAATA